CCTACTGATGAAGATGTACCTTGGACAGCACTTAGTTTTTGCCCCAAGCTCCGACTCAATTGAGCTTCAACCTTCAAAGCTAGTTGATACGCATCCTTTACTTTATATGGGCAATGTAGGCTGACCCGATCCTATATTGGCAACCTCAAACCATTGATATACCTACTAACTTTTTGTTGTCTAGTTTCTGTCATATTACTCCGAAGAGTTAATCTATCAAACTCTTTTGTGTATTCCTTTACACTCTTTTCCCGTTGCCTTAAATTCTGCACCCTTTGGTAAAGAATTTGCTCATAATCTGGTGATAAGAATTGGGTTTCAACTTGTCTTTCATTCTTCCCCAGGAATTAACCTTTCTTTTCCCCTTCCTTTCTCTGCCCCTTTGGTAATTTTTCCACCAATCCAAGGCTGTCCCACGCATCTTTGCTATTACAAGCTTCACTTTTCTTTCTTCATTCATTTCTTTCCAATCAAAATAATTTCAATGCTCTATCCAATCAGTCTAGAAACTCTTCAAGTTCCAACTCACCATCAAACTCGTTAATATGAAATTGAACACCATGACCTTGATTGGATTGTAAAGCTTGCACTATTCGGTCTTCCCACCGCTGGTTGTTATTCCTTTCATGCTAATCACCTTTAGGTTGCTCAATATCTTCACTAATAATGCCAATGGGCTGTTTATCAACTCTAGGAGCTTGTCTTCTTCTTCCTAGCCCCAAATCACTTGCTATGTCACCATCACTAGCAGAATTTTGAGCTACAAGTTGAGCAGGATATTCAATATGTTTTTGCAACCCTCTTATTGCCTCTTGGAAAACCTCTACAGTGATATGTTGTGGTCTTCTACCACCCCTACCACGTCCACCCCTTGCAACCATGATAATATAGCAAAATACAACAAGGAGATGAACTTCGAAGCAAACCTAAGGAAAGAAGTTGCTCTGATACCACTTGATGTTGATAGAAAAACAAATTATATGCAGCACTTCAAGCATACAAAAATAAGCACAAGAAATACCAAGCTAAAACACAAAAAGAAAGTTGGATTTTAGACCTGAACCTGAAGTAAAACTCCTCCTAGAACAATTCCGCTACAGTAACAATGATAGCAACTTGGCCTCCTACGCGGGCACGCAGCGATAAAGGGATTGGAAGGTGTCCAAATGGATCGACTCCTCAAAACCCAAGCTCCTAATACTTGAAAACCCTAGTTGGGGCTAAGCTACAACTCAAACAAGAGCCGGTAGTGGATTTTAAATGTGTTTGAAATTTGTTTTGCAAAATAAATTTATATATAGATATATATACTATGGTTTTATGAAAAAGGTTTGCAAAGGTTTTAATTCCCAGGATCCATCCTGAGTAGAGAGTGTGGCACTGTACCTTGCAGCCTAGGGAGAGGTCCTCCCTTGTCGGGCAGTGTTTGATCATTATGGCTGAGAGGTTAAGTGTAAGACCATTTAGGGCTTTACCTGATGGGCTAATCTCACTTAAGTCCATAGTCCTTGGGCCTTCATAAGGTGGCTGGACCCAAGGACCATTTAGTGTATATGTTGGGCCTGCTAAGAGCCCATACTGATGGGCTCAAGGGTTCACTATGTTGAGCAGTGAATTCGGCCAAGCCTTATAACAGAGGCTAGGCTGAACCCATATGACTTTTGTACAGATCAATGTTAGGGTCCCACGCCATACAAAGAGAGCCAAGCTAGCCAGCAAATTAAAAAGGGAAGTGAGCCTAATAACTTAATGGGCCTAAAGCCCAATTCGAACTGGGTTAATGTAGTTAATTAAATATGAGCGAATTTGAGATTAGATATGGTTCTGGATTAGCAGGAGGATAAGATAAGTTTTATCCACTTAAGAGTTCTGATCCAAATAAAGATTTGGATCAAAGAACCCTTTCCTGATAGGATTAGGAAGCTAATCCAGAGAGATTTTAAATAGAGGGCGAAATCCTTCTGTTAAACACTTTTGCTAAATCCAAATCTTTTCTCTGTTCTTGCCGCCCTACCCAGTTCGATTTCCAGAGTCTTAGACCGATCAAGATTTGTCTTAATTCTGATTTTTGCTAGAAAAATCATATCTGAATCGTGCTTACACTCCCTTGCGTGATCCTTGTTGAAGGACTGTAGTTCTTGCTGAAGAACTGCTTTGTTGATCCTACTTCATCCTAAGCCGTGTCATCTTCAGTGGAGGCAGGATTTGGTGACCTCTTTGGGCGTGAACACCTACGTTAGGAGCTACGTTTGTGGATTCCATATCAAGTATATCCCTYCCATAATTTTGGTTACAGATCTGGTCCGGTTTGTTTCAAGAACGAACCTTGAAAAATGTAGTTTTTCTAAATCAAGGAATACGATTCTCGGAAGGGAGAAATTCGCCCAGCCACCCTACATGGTTCAGCCATCCATATGATGGATCTCCCTTCTCTTCACCAAACTGTCAACAAAGCTACCCAAAAATAACAATTTGGGATCCTACTACAAAAAACATGCAAAACAGAATACATTCACATTTTTTTCCATTTTTTTGGCCTCATCAGATACATGTGTCCTGAGAATGAAGATTAGCGTGGGATGCAAAGGAGGTGAAGTCTTTCTATGGGGTTAGTGTGTGGAAGGGAATTATGAGTTTTCAATCAGCTTTTTTGGTTGTGTCATTCAAAATTGGGGATGGTTCAAAAATAAAATTTTGGGAAGATGAAAGGGTAGGGGTGGATAAATTTTGTGATCTTTGTCTATAGTCGTACAATTTAAGCAAGAAAAACGTGTATGTTGTGTAGTGTTTTGAATTGATTCCAGGGAGGATTGTCTGGTGCACAAAACTTAGGAGATCTTTATTTGATTGAGAGATTTGAGGAATGCATGGAATTACTTTCCAAGTTACAACCAATGAAGGTGAAAGTGGAAGGACGAGATTTAAGGTGGTGGAAGGAATTAGAAAGCATTTGCTAGAAATCAAGTAGAGAGGTCGGAAGTTAAAGGAGTTTGTGGTAATCCTATATTGCCTAGGGTTGAAGTTTTTGCTTGGCATGTAGAATTAGAAAGCATTCTCACATTGGGTCACATTCAAAGTAGGGCAGTTCAGCTGCTAGGAAGATGCTATTTATCATTTATGTAAAAATGCTGAGGAGAATGTTATTTATTTGGGATTTCTTCTTTGGTCTCTTTAAAACTGACATGATGGAACCAAGAAACCCAGGGGAAATCTTTTCTCAATGGCCAACATGTGGAGGAAATATTAAATCAAAAATTGCTTGGTGCTGTGTTCCCTTTGCCATTTGCTGGGAAATTTGGAAATGAAGAAATAGGGCAATCTTTGAAGACAAATCTAGGACAAGAGATCAAGTTGCTGGCTTGTGCACAAAGAGGGTGGTGGAGTGGATTCTTATTCTTCCAGAATTTGAAGGAGTATCTAAAAAAGATCTTTTCTTATATCATTTGAAGGGCTACACAATGGGGGTAGCCCATCCCCCAACCTAGGTGCAGGCAGGACTCGATCCCAAGCTCCCCTACGACCAGCAAGAGACCTTACCAACCAGTCGGTTGGCACCTTGCAATATCTAAAAAAGATCTTGGAAATGGCTTTTGCTCTCCTTTTGAACTAGATTCAAGATGATAATGTTGATTGTAATGTGTGGTGGTAATTGTTGTTTGTTGATCTTTTCATTTTGAAGTGGATATTATATTGGATGTACCCTTTTGTTTTTTTCTTATTATTAGTATATTTTCTTTTCTATTTATTACCAGGTGCAGGCAAGACTCGATCCCAAGCCTCCACTACGACCAGCGAGAGACCTTACCAACCGGTCGGTTGGCACCTTGCAGTATCTAAAAAAGATCTTGGAAATGGCTTTTGCTCTCCTTTTGAACTAGACTCAAGATGATAATGTTGATTGTAATGTGTGGTGGTAGTTGTTTGTTGATCTTTTCATTTTGAAGTGGATATTGTATTGGATGTACCCTTTTGTTTTTTCTTATTATTAGTATATTTTCTTTTCTATTTATTACCAGAAAAGTGTTTTGAGAATGAGGGGGATGTCAGGCACTTGTTTGTCCATTGAACAATGACAGCCTTCATTTTTGTCTCGTTATTTTTTTTTTTTGATAATTCATTTTCGTCTCATTATTCAAGGATCAACCATTTCAACCAACTAGTCTTAAAGGATATTTTTTTTTCTGATTTGTCACATTTCATGGAAGCAAGAACGCAAAAATTTTCTTGAGTTGTGTTTGTTTTGCTATTTGTTGTGGTGTTTGAAAAGAAAAAAAAAAATAGGTTATTGATGGAAAAGAGAAAAGGGGCTATAAATATTTGTCCCAATATTGGACCTATGATTGCCAAACATATTAGTTTGCCAGAATTTTTTGAGGCATCTAGAGAGTCTTTTGGATCCAACTTCTGGTCTACCTTGAGCTGGATTGAATCTGTACATGAATTTTTTGTAAGATCTGTAAATACTGTGCTTGTTCATCTTTGTGCTGTGCTCGATGTATTTCTGTTCTGCTTTCTTAGTGGATTTGCAAATAGCTTTTTTGTTAGGTGCCATCTCATCAACCTTCATTTGTGCTATTCTCTTTTCATCTTAAAAAAATCTCTTTTACTATCAAAGAAAAACAAAATAGATATGCAAGATCAGTTGGCAAAGAATTGGTTGCAATGAGATGAAGAAACTAATCAGTCAGACATTCATCAACTCTAGCAATCTATGTTTACCAGCCACGACAAGATACAACATGAACAAAGATGGAATTTGCACCAAAGTATCAAGTGTTTGACACATGTATGTCACTGTTCCAAAGTTCCACATAATACACCTTAACAATTTCTAATATTAACCATTTATGAAGAATTACAAGAAATTTAAATCTGAAATTAAATATATGGGTAGTTTCATAGTAGAAACACTGGTAAATGGTAACCACCCTCTTTAGAAGGTATAGATGCATAAGATCTGCACACGAGATAAAAGCTCTCAATAGGAAATAATACATTACCTGAATGAGACCTTGTGTGCCCCCACCAAATAGTCGATTGTACCTTTCAATACTTGTCAGAACCCTAGAAACTTCTGGTTCATGACGATCTCGTGATGTTGTCTCACAGGGTATCAACAAAGTTATCAAACGGCGACATATAGGACATTTGCATGGCTGAAGAGCTGATCCATGTTGCCAAACACGTAGAATGCAATTGCCTGTAGTGTAGAATGAATGAATTGTTACATTTGCAGGACCAAGAATCCAGAAAGAAACCCCCCAAGGTCAATTGAGATATCCTAAGCATACAATGAGAACCCAAACCCAATGTGCAAGTACCAGTTTCATCCTCTAAGAGAACCAACCCTTGGGGTGTTATACATGAAAAATCCCAGAGGAAATAGAAAGCAACTTTTTACCCAGCTCAGAATGCCCAGACCATACCAAATGAAATAGACCCAACCATCTCTTTTGAGTGCCAGGCCTCACACCAGGCCAATGGGCCTCTTAGTTTAGCCCATGTTTTGACTCTCATCTTTGAACCAGGATGGAAGACACTAGAAGAAATTATTCCAGGGATGTGCTCAAAGATATTTTCCATCTTATTAGGTACCTTGAGGAGCAAGTAGGGTTAGGGTTTCTCATCTCTCTATAAATAATTGTTCTTTTTCTTTTTGGAGCCAACAGAAAAAAAAAATATGGTGCTATCAAAATGAAAACAAGGTACAATGGATGAGGAAGTTGGCTAATGCTTTGGCTGAATGTTTAGCTAAACAAGGGGTGGTGAATAGGGATGTTCTGTATTGGGCTCAATTGTAAGATGTAAAGTGAAACTTTGTAGGGAGAGACCACACCTCGCACCTCTCCAAGGGATGCTTGTAATGCTTTAAATTTGATATTCAATAAAATTTTTAATTATCAAAAAAAAAGAACAAAGTGAAGTTCATGTAAAAATTAATCCATGCAAGATGGGAGAAATTCAAAGAACACTATATTGAAAAGCTCCTTAACAGGCTCCATATTAATAATTTAACAAGAACACCAGAAGAAATCTAACCAAACATTGTTGAATGGTAAATGGACCAGCGACCCAAGATGAAAATCAAGAAACATTAGTACTAAGCACAAACCAACAAACTAAAACTAAACACAAGATGCTAACACGAAGATAATTCCACAAGGGCTATAAATAGACAATTGATGAAATCAAGGCCGAAAGAGACTAAGTTAAGATTCCATGGCATTTTAAAAATGAGAAGCACCACTGAAGAAAAAAAAAGTTGCTAGATCTTGAGGTTCAATGTGCAAGGCAAGACACTCCTAAATGAAGTTTGGAAAATGGAGGGAAAAAAAAGGATGAATATGGTCTCCAAATTGGTAGTGGATGGAAGCTCAATCACTAGGGAAGAGGTCAATGTTGATTACTTTAAATCCATCAATCAATGTCCCTCGGAGAGTAGACTTGTAGTGGAAGGGTTGAAATATCAAGTTTGAATAGGAGTCAGGTAGAATTGCTAGAAAGTAAGTTTGATATAGAAGATATAAAAAGTGTGGCTTTATCTATGGATAGGAATAAGGATCTAGGCCCAAAAGGATTCTCTATGGCTTTCTATCAAGAGCATCAGGACATTCTAAAGCCAAACTTATTGGAGGTGTCCAATGGATTCTTTGAAATAGGAATTATTGGCCTTGGGGTGAATGCCACTTTTATAGCTTTGATTTTGAAGAAACCAGTAGCTTTTCAGAAGACTTCCTTTACACCAGTGAACTAAAAGAAATAAATAAACCTGCAATGAGATTTAAGAAGAGAAACAGAAGAAGCTATCTAGAATCCATTGATGATATTCGTAGGTGACAAAGCACCAGGACCAGGTGGTTTTGCTATGAAGTTCTATAAAAGATGCTGGAATTTTATTAAAGATGATTTGCTTAAGGTGTTTGAGGAGTTGTGTTGGGAATCAAGGCCCAGGCCCCTAGTCACTCGCACTTACCTAAGGAAGAACCTGGGCAAACCTTATCAGCAACTGACTGCAATAGACAACACGTCAGATGGTCCCTCTGCATGAGATCGTTAGAGCTGACACAGTTTGTTAGGATATTTTGTAACCCAACAAACCACTATATATATGGGGTGGCCGAATGAAAGGATAGGAAATTGAATCCACTCTCTCTCTCTCTCTTTCTTTTCTTCATTTCTGCGCAGGAGGAAGGGTCTCCCTTGAAGAGACTCCTAGAGGTGAGCAGTATCTCATCAACTAGTATCAGAGCGAGAACGGCCCACCTGAACGATCGAAGATGACCAACACGCATTCAGTGACCCTAGACAAGAGGGTGGACAAGATCGAAGTCAATCTCCACCAGGTGGTCGCGGGAGAAAGCTACCCCCACCACAGGCCGAGATAGTGACAACGAAGGATCTAGCTGGGGTAGCAACTGGAGGGGGAACTACATACCGGGGAGAATCACCAAACTGGACTTCCCGACGTTCTATGGAGGAGATCCGATCCCCTGGATCTTCAAGGCCGAAAAGTACTTCGAATATCACGATGTACAAGGACTCCAACGCGTGACCATCACCTCCTTCCATTTGGAAGGGGAGGCGATTCTGTGGTTCCAGTGGTTCAGGCGCTCCCGTCCCCAAATTTCATGGCAAGAGTTCACGGAGGCATTGTGCTTACGATTTGGTCCTACTAGGCACGATGACTACGACGAGATGCACTCCAGGGTAAAACAGACTAGAATAGTGTGGGACTACCAAGTCGAGTTTGAACAGCTTGCCACCAGAGTGTACGGATGACTAGAAAAGGCACTAGTCGGTTGCTTTGCGGAGGGTTGAGAGACGACATCAAGGTAGAGGTGAAGGCCCTTCAGCCCACTTCTCTATCTGTGGCTGTAGGACTAGCAAGATTGCAGGAGGAGCGGCTAGATCGATTGAGGAAGGTGACGACCCGCTCATCTAGGCCCTCGTTAAAAACACCATCACGCCAAGATGAGCTTCTTCCTAGGCCTATGACAGAACCTCTTCGACCAGTTGTTGAAACCAATCAGCCCACCCAAGGACCCACACCTCTAACTTAGGGCTCAGTCCCCTTCAAATGCCTCTCATGGGCTGAAAATGCAGGCCCAACATGAGAAGGGCTTGTGTTACAATTGTGATGAAAAATTTGGGCCTGGTCACCAGTGCAAAACCCAAAGAATGTTCTTGCTGCAATGAGAGGAGACTGGAGGGGAAGATGATGAGGAACTAGCTGAGGAGGAGGAGCCAGACAGTACCCAATATGACAACCCCGAAATCTGTCTGCAAGATTTGATAGGGCTGTCATCCCCCAAATCTATGAGAGTTGAAGGGAAGCTCAGGGGCCGCCGAGTGTCTATTCTCATAGACAGCGAGAGCACACTGAATTTTGACAGACAAGTATTGGGTCGCCAACTAGGTATGACAGTTCTCTACACCTCTCCATTTGCTGTTAAAGTCGCGGATGGTAACCATATTGAATGTGAAAGTATTTGTAAAATTGAAAAGCTAGTAATCCAAGGCCACACTTTCATCGTGGACTTACAACCATTGGATTTCAATGGGGCGGATGTAGTGTTGGGTGTACAATGGTTGAGCCAACTGGGCCCGGTCCTTTGTGATTGGGGACACATGACCATGGACTTTTATTGCGATGGGCTCTGCTGCCATCTGTTAGGTCAAGAAATACCCGGCCCATTAACAGAAGGTCTTGAAGGGATGAGAGATCCATCCCATGGACGCCCAAAGATTGCGGAATAAGGGGCGAATTTCAAAAATTTTTCTCTCCCTTCAACTGAGAATCGCATTCCCTATTTAGAAAATCATATTTTCAAGGATCATTCTTGAACCTTAAACTGAATCAGATCTGAACCAAAAGGAGTAGGAGAGAATTATACCTTTTACAGAGAAGTAGTATCTCCCAACGAAGGTGTTCACGCCCAAGGAAGGATCCAAAAACTGCTCCCACTGA